CAAGTCTGAAAGAGAACAAGGAGATAATAAGGATGAGGTGGGGGTTACCAGGGACACAAGTCTGAAAGAGAATGAGGAGAGAATTAGGATGAGGTGGGGGTTCCAAGGGACACAAGTCTGAAAGATAACGAGGAGAGAACTAGGATGAGGTGGGGGTTCCCAGGGACACAAGTCTGAAAGAGGATGAGGAGAGAATTAGGATGAGATGGGGGTTCCCAGGGACACAAGTCTGAAAGAGAATGAGAGAATTAGGATGAGGTGGGGGTTCCCAGGGACACATGTCTGAAAGATAACAAGGAGAGAATTATGATGAGGTGGGGGTTCCTAGGAACACAAGTCTGACAGATAACAAGGAGAGAATATAGATGAGGTGGGGGTTCCCAGGGACACAAGTCTGAAAGATAACAAGGAGAGAATTAGGATGAGGTGGGGGTTCCCAGGGACACAAGTCTGAAAGATAACAAGGAGAGAATTAAGATGAGATGGGGTCCCAGGGACACCAGTCTGAAAGAGAATGAAGAGGGAGACATTTGAAGATTAAACCTACAGAAGTCTAGGGTGGGATGAGAAGAGGATCCGTGGATAATATACTGATAAGAGGGGTTGGGTAAGGATACGGTTAGGGTTCCTTGGACAGGATAATCTCTATGCAAGAATATTAGGGGACAGTTAGGATGAGCAAGGACACCTGTAGACACCAATTCATTCAAGAGGACCACTGAGAGAAGGAGGATCGGGGAACAGTATAATTCCTACAAGAACATAAGGGAAGGGTAGATTAAGGCAAGGCTCCTGGAGACTAATAGAATTGTTCACCCCCTTGGGGTTGAGAAAGGAGGATAAGTAGAGAGTTTCGAAAAAGTAGTGGATCCTACAGACAAGAGATTTTGTGTAAAACGATCTGGACTAATTATAGATTTACAGGGGCAGGGTAAAGATAGTATTCTAGCTACAGAAAAAGATTTAATGCAAGAAGAGGAGAACCCAGGGTTAATATTATAAGGAAGACATCCTGGAAACGGTATTTTTTCTACAAAAGGACAATGGGAGAATGGGGATAAGGGAGGGCTTTTGTATAATTTCTATATGACATTGAGGGGATTCTGGGTACATCATAGATCTAACAAGAGGACAAGGGGTGTGATACAGTGAATAGCTGGAGATTGACAGAAATATATAATTATGATGTGGCAGATAAATGTACATAGGATTATGGTCACCTTGGCTTCCCACTAGGCAGAATTATCCTTTGGTTAGATCGATAGAGTGGCGGACTGGGGATCTTTGGGTTGCAGGTTCATTCCTGGTTGGAAGCACTCTACTCTCTTTCCTACTACAATTGGTGTCTGTGGCCCTCCCTGTGGTGACAGGGAGTTAGAACCTGGTTTGTTGTAGTGTTTGAGGTTGGACACATTTGAAATGCTGGAAGTAGTGTTGCAGATTTTAATTGTACACAGGATTAATATGGTCGCCTCCTAGCTTCATGCTAGAGGTTCAATCCCCAATGGAAGCACACTTCTCTCTTTCCTTTTCCATTTGCAAGAGAACCCTGGGAAGAATAAGAATAAGCAAGGCTCCTGTCTGACATATTTCTAGCAGATGATAAGGAGAATAGTTGAATGAAGATTTGATCCTGGGAACAATGGAATCGCCACAAGAGAATGATAGGAGAGTTACTGAAGAATAGCGAGAGCAGCGAGAATAAAACTTCTATTAAAAGCTTGAGATTAGGGTTAAGGATAAGGAAGAGAATATGATTTATAACATGCATGTAAGTGGGATGTTAATATAAGTAGGATTTCTGTGGATAGTTTGAATCGTACAAGAGGATAAGGGATGGGCTTTGATTTAACCAGGGTATCCAAAGGACAAGAGGATGGAGGAAGGATGATGATGAGCAACAGATCCTATAGTATCCTTAAAATGGAACAGGGAAGGGCAATAGGATGATGAGGGGATCAAAGGGAAATTCACACAAGATGATAATAGGAATGTTAGAATATAAGGATAGTACCTGGGGACATTGTAATTCTTACAAGGTGATGCCTGACAAAGATACAGGGTACTGGGATAGTGCTGTAATTATTACAAGGTGATGCCTGACAAAGATACAGGGGACTGGGATAGTGCTGTAATTCTTACAAGGTGATGCCTGACAAAGATACGGGTTACTGGGATAGTGCTGTAATTATTACAAGGTGATGTCTGACAAAGATACAGGATACTTAGATAGTGGTGTAATTCTTACAAGGTGATGCCTGACAAAGATACAGGGTACTGGGAAAGTGCTGTAATTCTACAAGGTGATGCCTGACAAAGATTCAGGGTACTGGGATAGTGCTGTAATTCTTACAAGGTGATGCATGACAAAGATACAGGGTACTGGGAAAGTGCTGTAACTTTTACAAGGTGATGCCTGAAAAAGATTCAAGGTACTGGGATAGTGCTGTAATTCTTACAAGGTGATGCCTGACAAAGATACAGGGTACTGGGATAGTGCTGTAATTCTTACAAGGTGATGCCTGACAAAGATACAGGGTACTGGGATAGTGCTGTAATTCTTACAAGGTGATGCCTGACAAAGATACAGGGTACTGGGATAGTGCTGTAATTCTTACAAGGTGATGCCTGACAAAGATACAGGGTACTGGGATAGTGCTGTAATTCTTACAAGGTGATGCCTGACAAAGATACAGGGTACTGGGATAGTGCTGTAATTCTTACAAGGTGATGCCTGACAAAGATACAGGGTACTGGGATAGTGCTGTAATTCTTACAAGGTGATGCCTGACAAAGATACAGGGTACTGGGATAGTGCTGTAATTCTTACAAGGTGATGCCTGACAAAGATACAGGGTACTGGGATAGTGCTGTAATTCTTACAAGGTGATGCCTGACAAAGATACAGGGTACTGGGATAGTGCTGTAATTCTTACAAGGTGATGCCTGACAAAGATACAGGGTACTGGGATAGTGCTGTAATTCTTACAAGGTGATGCCTGACAAAGATACAGGGTACTGGGATAGTGCTGTAATTCTTACAAGGTGATGCCTGACAAAGATACAGGGTACTGGGATAGTGCTGTAATTCTTACAAGGTGATGCCTGACAAAGATACAGGGTACTGGGATAGTGCTGTAATTCTTACAAGGTGATGCCTGACAAAGATACAGGGTACTGGGATAGTGCTGTAATTCTTACAAGGTGATGCCTGACAAAGATACAGGGTACTGGGATAGTGCTGTAATTCTTACAAGGTGATGCCTGACAAAGATACAGGGTACTGGGATAGTGCTGTAATTCTTACAAGGTGATGCCTGACAAAGATACAGGGTACTGGGATAGTGCTGTAATTCTTACAAGGTGATGCCTGACAAAGATACAGGGTACTGGGATAGTGCTGTAATTCTTACAAGGTGATGCCTGACAAAGATACAGGGTACTGGGATAGTGCTGTAATTCTTACAAGGTGATGCCTGACAAAGATACAGGGTACTGGGATAGTGCTGTAATTCTTACAAGGTGATGCCTGACAAAGATACAGGGTACTGGGATAGTGCTGTAATTCTTACAAGGTGATGCCTGACAAAGATACAGGGTACTGGGATAGTGCTGTAATTCTTACAAGGTGATGCCTGACAAAGATACAGGGTACTGGGATAGTGCTGTAATTCTTACAAGGTGATGCCTGACAAAGATACAGGGTACTGGGATAGTGCTGTAATTCTTACAAGGTGATGCCTGACAAAGATACAGGGTACTGGGATAGTGCTGTAATTCTTACAAGGTGATGCCTGACAAAGATACAGGGTACTGGGATAGTGCTGTAATTCTTACAAGGTGATGCCTGACAAAGATACAGGGTACTGGGATAGTGCTGTAATTCTTACAAGGTGATGCCTGACAAAGATACAGGGTACTGGGATAGTGCTGTAATTCTTACAAGGTGATGCCTGACAAAGATACAGGGTACTGGGATAGTGCTGTAATTCTTACAAGGTGATGCCTGACAAAGATACAGGGTACTGGGATAGTGCTGTAATTCTTACAAGGTGATGCCTGACAAAGATACAGGGTACTGGGATAGTGCTGTAATTCTTACAAGGTGATGCCTGACAAAGATTCAAGGTACTTGGATAGTGCTGTAATTCTTACAAGGTGATGCCTGACAAAGATACAGGGTACTGGGATAGTGCTGTAATTCTTACAAGGAGATGCATGACACAGATACAGGGTACTGGGATAGTGCTGTAATTATTACAAGGTGATGCCTGACAAAGATACAGGGTACTGGGATAGTGCTGTGAGAACAGATTTCATAAAGGTTTGCTTCTCAATTTGTCCAGGGAAAGTGGTGAAGTACAGAGAAAATAGCCATTTTTCTGACATTGGCCACCTTGTCTGATACAAAAGGGATGCATTTGTGAGGCCAGACAAAAGTATTCAATTTTTCTATTAATTGAAAAGTCTAAAGTATACTGTGTTAGATCTGTCGGTAATGCTGCAGTAATCTCATATATATCTTAGTGAATTGGTTCCTTAAATGATTGCATGTGACATAAAACATACTGATCACACACTACTCAACTTGATGTTGTTCAAATTATTTTATTTTATCAATGATTATTGTTTTATCTCCAACTATGATCGATTGATCATTATTTTCTTTGATTGATCCTGGTTTAACCGACTAAGACTTTCAAGAAGTTATTGAGATTTTGAGTAGACCTGAAAATTTCTTACCAAAAGTTTTCCTCCTAAATTTTACCTTGAACTGCAATCAAACATTTCTGTCGTCATATCAAGGTAGTTAAAAAGCATAATTCACCATATTTTACCCATTTTGATTAATGCCTCTGGAAAAACGTGATGATCAATAATGAATTTCTTTCGTGATCTTATACACAGCTCGACTTTAATTTGGTAAAATATAAATGGCAGAATTGAATCCCTTTTGATTAAAAGTTATAATCTAGACAATATATCATTGTCCTTTTCAGTGACGGGCAGTTACTATCTCGGGGTGGTTGATGGCGGCTACAACTCTGGCAGACATAGACCAGGGGAGGCAACCCAGAGGAACTACACCCTGAAGATATGGTGGGCTAACTGTCTGTACTGGAATGAGTCTGGGAGGGAGTGGTCGGACGATGGCTGCTGGAGTACAGGGGAGTCGACGTACTACGTCACACACTGCCGGTAACCAAACACACAGTCATCTGATCTGGGACACGCTTACCAGTATATATTTTCCAAATGTGTCCAAACTGGTTCTAACGAAACAAGCATTTGTGCAGTTTTCATTCAGACTTGAACATGTTTCTTGTGGTCAATTAAAATTGCTCAGACATTGGTTAAAAAAAATATAATTGATTTTGATGTGTATTTATAAATCTGAAATTTCATTAAGAAGAAAATATAGAATATGAAGTTACGTAATTGTCGTGGATATAAGAAAATATTATGCAGAAAAGAAAATGCAATGAATCACAAGGAAATTTCATGCAGAATTCCTCAAGAAAAAATATTTAAAATTGTATATTTAACATGACAAGATTCCAAAGATGAGATTTTAATTGAGCATAATATTGAAAACTGCAAGCAAATTGACTGCAACTATATATACATAATGAAATATTTCTGCGATACATTTAGGCCAAATGTTCAATAAAACATTTAATCTTCTAGCTAACAATGACCTAGATTTGGGACACATGTTTCTTCCGGGACAAAAATATTTTCTAATTATTTTGGACAATATAAAGTGTACTTTACCAGATTTGTCTATAACGTAGATAATTGCCATCCATATTGATGGCGATAAACCAATCGATGTTGAGATTTAACGTAATTATTAAGATAAGTGGATTAGGCCTACACTTGGATGGGCCTGCCACGCTATTGATTATTCGTTAGTGAAGAAGATAAAACAGGACATACTCTTTTACAGTTGTAATCACCTGACTGCGTTTGGTAGCCACTTCGATCTCGTGCCGAATGAACTGTCCTTCGTCGCAGTGGAAGACTTTTTTTCGTGAGTAATGATAGAATTAATAATACAGTGATGTTGATGCGCCATGAAGATTTTAATAGATATTTAAGGACTCTTCTGAGCCTCTTTCCTGTGTATGTAATTAATAAACCAATTAGGAGAGTCCAGTAATGAGTTTTTCTTTCTCTGATGTTGTTTCTGTACTTCATTTACTTTCTTTATTAAACTGAAAAAAAATCTGAATTTCCTACTTAAAAATGGTATAAAAGATATAAAAGATATCCTTGTATTCTTCAAGTTTTAATTTCTGTCAAATGATGACAATCAAATCTACTTCACAGTCAGATATTCAGAATCAGTGTTGTATTTACAACACATCCTAAATTTCATGTTGCCACGTTATAGTAATTTAACACCTATATGCAGTATATATTATAAAACTTCGGTGCACAATTAATAACATCACAATTAGTGATTCCTATAGTGTAACAGTGTCGTATTATAAATTTACTTTCATCAGAACATAATGTTTTTAACATAATGTTTGAAATATATACAGTAAAACCCTCCTAACTGGAACTCGTATGAACCCTGCAAATATTGCGGATAGTAGATGATAGAAGAAAAAAAAGAATTTTAATCAAGATGAGAGCATTTAATAAGATTTAAAATAGCTAAACAATGAAAACATCTAGCCACTGGTATTAAGAAAGTAAATAAAGTTGAAAAACTGCATGTGTAACGTACAGTACTTGTCGTTTTGACATGGTCAGCCATACTGTAATCGGCTACGTTAATTCTACAAAAATGTCAAAACGAGAAAAAAATCTTCGATCATTTTTTAAAATGAAGAAAATTTTGAATCCTTATTATCATAATGTTGATTGATAACAAAATTAACAATCACAAAGTTTGAATATCTTTAAAGTTGGTCAAGAATCCGCTATGTGGTTTCCCCTTACTATTGCCATGCCGAAATATGGTTTTTCACTCTCAGTGAATGAACACGTACGCCAAATCATCAATGTCAAAACATGGTCTGGAAAATATATATATGCACACATTTTTAGGGTAAGGGTACAGTTACTATGACCATGAAGAGTCGGGGACACATTTTTGTTCGAGGAATAACAGTTCGTCTAATCCGAAGTTACTTTACAAAGAATATTCACAAACTCGGTCGGGACCAGAGGCATTGTTAAACTAATGACGGGTATTGGAGTAAACCGAGTTTGAGGAAGTGAGATTTTACTGTAATATACTGTATATACATTTAATATAGGAGTAATCCACTAAAAACAAATACGTTTATTTTTCGAAGGGGAGGAGGAAAGTTTGTTTAGCGAAATTTGCTTTTGTACAGTAATTTTATTTTTGCAAAAATTACATCCAACAAAATTATAGCATATTGATCTATTCCGATCCCAGCACTTCATGTCCACCAATAGACGAAAAATCCATCCCACAAAATTTACCATATTTGCAACTATGGAAAAAATACAGCACATTTTAAAATTCATGTAGTGAATTGTAGTGTTATGATGGATGTCATTAATGTATAATCACATTTCCTGATTTTCAGTCGCCATGAAAACCCAATCACAATAACCTTGATAGGGGTCATTCTATGTCTATACGCTATTCTCATGGTGATCTGTCACCGTGCCGATATCCACGACGCCAAGAAAGGGGGGATAACTTATCTTCAGGATAACACCATCACGGATCAACAGAGGTTTGAGGTTACCGTGGAAACAGGCTTCAGAAAAGGGTCTGGAACTACAGCAAAGGTACGTACTGCAGCACAGCCTTAAATTACACTCGGATGTAATAGTGAATTATTTGTGTCTTTTGATAGAGAAATTAAATTTGTATATGTTGATTTTTTTAAAAATTTGGATGCTTTATAAGCATGATATAAACGAGACCAAGTTAGTTTAGAGTGCATCATAAGTTAAAGGTTAAAGTAAGTATATTTGTGTTGTATGTGCACACGCACTATGTCTTTACATACTTAGATCTTATATCTAACTCTGTGATTTCAAGTAATTACCATACATTTCTGTTCCAATCTAATCACAGTAGCTTCTTCCAGTATCATTACCAATATTATATCAAATATTAATGTTTGGTCCACGTGTCAAAAGCCTTATATCAGCTTTACAATCACACCTAACACATACCAACCAACTTTGAGATCGTTACCTGATTGTATTGATGGTATATCAAACAGATCAGTCTCATACTTCACGGAGAGGAAGGCATGTCAGAGACGAGGGAGCTGATCACAGACGACCGTCGACCTCTGTTTGAGCGCAACTCAAGGGACAAGTTTATCCTCACGTAGGTTGTCTTATCACTCAGAGAAAACAGAACAGAAAAATGTGAAAGAAATATACACAAACAAAATCACCTTGGTGTCTTTTTGTTCAAGTTGAAAAAACCCAGTTAATATGAATATAACCTTTGTAAACATACCCTGTGTAATCTGGTCCCAACACCGTTAGTATCTGGTTACCAAATGCAAATATGTACTTATTGCAAATGAAACTATGTGGCAAATTGGTGTTCTGTATGGATAGATTTTACTACATCTTCCACAATAAGACCCGTGGGATAACATCCGAGCAAAAGAGAGATTTATATAAGTTGAAATGAATTGTTTCATAATTGTTGTAAAATAAGGAAATTTCACGTATAAGAGAAAATCACAAAGGAATTTCTTTCTTTAGCATGACTTGATTGCAATATCCTTTGTTTCAGGCAGAGTTGATGTAAAAAGACTTGATCAAAACATCTATACCAACAAACAGGGGAGATAACTAACGTTGCAACAGATTTATGACTTCTTTTTATGTATTGAATTAGCAGATAGCTTATGTTTGGATAGCCTTATATCAATTTTGATATAAAACCCTGAATAAGAAGGAGATAACTGGTGTTTCCATAGCTTATGACACTGTTTTATTGAAGACAAGGGAAATAACTGATGTTTCCATAGCTGATGATACTGTTTTATTTAGGACAAGGGAGATAACTGATGTTTCCATAGTTTATGACACTGTTTTATTTAAGACAAGAGTGATAACTGATGTTTCCATAGTTTATGACACTGGTTTTTTTAAGACAAGGGAGAAAACTGATGTTTCAATAGCTTATGATACTGTTTTATTTAAGACAAAGGAGATAACTGATGTTTCCATAGCTTATGACACTGTTTTATTTAAGACAAGGGAGATAACTGATGTTTCCATAGCTTATGACACTTTTTATTTAAGACAGGGTAGATAACTGATGTTTCTATAGCTTATGACACTGTTATATTTAAGACAAAGGAGATAACTGATGTTTCCATAGCTTATGACACTGTTTTATTTAAACAAGGGAGAAAACAGATGTTTCCATAGCTTATAACACTGTTATATTTAAGACAAGGGAGATAACTGATGTTTCCATAGCTTATGACACTGTTTTATTTAAGACAAAGGAGATAATTGATGTTTCCATAGCTGATGATACTGTTTTATTTCAGACAAGGGAGATAACTGATGTTTCCAAAGCTGATGATACTGTTTTATTTAAGACAAGGGAGATAACTGATATTCCATAGTTTATGACACAATATTTTCTAAGACAAGGGAGATAACTGATGTTTCCATAGTTTATAACACTGTATTATCTAATACAAGGGAGATAACTGATGTTTCCATAGCTTATAACACTGTTTTATTTAAGACAAGTGAGATAACAAATATTTCTAGAACTTATAACACAGTATTTTCTAAGACAAGGGAGATAATTGATATTTCAATACCTTATAATGCTGTATTATTTCAAACAAGGGAGATAACTGATGTTTGCATGACTTGATATCATTATATCTTTATAACTATCTAATAGGCTGCCAGACAGTATTGGTAAAATCTGGAAGGTACAGATTTGGCACAACAACTCTGGTCAGTCTCCCAGCTGGTATCTCAGTCGAGTCATCGTAAAGGACCTCAACAATGGTAAATATGCAGCAAAGACATTATTCAAAAAATAAATGTCCATTTTCATTTCATATGTCACAATAAAAACCAGAGTAAAAGTTTCCAAAGAAAAGAAAACACAAATAAATGATTTTATGTCTCTTCCAATTTATATTTCAGAAGTATGCTTTTCCTTTTTCCAAAATCATGTTTCATGTTGTTAACATTTCTTTATAAAGGTAATGTATACTACTTCCTGTCCGAGAAATGGCTGGCCGTTGAAGAAGAGGATGGGAAGGTGGAACGAGAGTTCATGGCACTGGAGGGCAGTCTTGGTGTCAGAAAAGTAAGATGACCCTTCAGATTGTTCCCTTAGAGTAAATAAGGGGGTTTTCTCCTTTGTTTTTGTGCTCTCTACCTGAAAGTGGGGTTGTTATCCTGAAATTGTTGTCAAGAGATAGAAAAATATGGGTTCAGTTGTTATCTGTAAGGCAGAAATACCAGTTGTCTCCATTTATCCATGCTTGCAAACTTTCATCTGTTCTATACAATGTATTTACTGAAGTTAATAGTCAGACTTTGGAATTATAATGTAATGGTTGTCCATGAGGGGAGTGGGGGAAGGG